ATGGCTCACGCAGGAATGAATGAATGGCTGGGCGCTGCCTCTTGATTTATACTTCTGAAGCTCGTTGGTCTGCCCCTTTCCATCGGCCCATGGTGGTCACAGTCCGTCGTGGTACTTGCTGGACCGGACAGGGAGTGACTGGACCTTACCGTTGACTGACTGGGGACTCACTGCTAACCTACCGAGGTCGCACCGCAATCGTACTGCAGTTAGTCCACCACTTGGCTCACCACTTGCCCACTTGCCCACTTGCCGACCTTCTAGAAGGACTACAGCTAAGACTTCTGGAATTGACTAAGACTTCTATTCTACAAATCTACAGATCGAACCCCTGCTACCTACGGACGTATGGCAGCCTACCAACTGTTTACGAATACACAGGTCACAGGTTCAACTCTCGGGGTCTACACAGGTACTGTACATGGGTAGGGTGAGGTCTAGGGATCGAGCCCCGGAATCTGCATCTGCTACTGCAAAAGGTGAAAACTGTTTCACTCCCGCCGTCCTAAAGTCGAGGTCCTCCGAGAATATTTTAGTCCAAGGCAAGACCTTTTCTCTTCTTATCACGCTCATAGGCTCTGACTATGTCGGGAGCTGTCTCTAGAAGTTCTGTCCTAGTAAACCAGCGGTCGTCTTCCGGTTCCTGATAGGCAAACCAGACCTTATACTGTCTCTGTGGACGACCTCTACCTCCTGTCCTAAACATATCTTCATCTACAATGCTGTCAATGTCATATCTGGCATCCATATCCGGAGGGATCATGGATCTTCTTGAAGGGAACTGTTGACTTGTGACACACGACAACAACTTTGAAGCATGGAATACAGGGTAGGTGTGGAGGTGTGCTGGGATCTCTATTGAGTAGGACGGTCCATCTTCTCCGCCCTTGACTTCTAGAACTGGCCACGATCCTCTGTACGCTGGCAGTAACTTCGGCGAGATGTTCTCCTCAGGTGCAAACTCTTTTGACTTGACCCAGACTAAGTCGCCTACTTGAAACTGAGACGGGCGACGATGCTTGTTTGCCTGTTCTATCATTCTATGTTGGGCCTTCCTGAGGTTCTGAACAACTGTAGCTAGCTCTCTCTCGTGCTGTATCGCAAACTCCCTGGTTCCGGGCGGTAGCCTGTGAATCTGATCCCGGGTACGTCCTTCAAATGGTCTGCGGGGTCTAAAGGACTTGTGCAACTCGTTGGGAGTTCGGCAGGTAGACAAATGCACGCTGTTATTATATGCGCTGACTACCTTGGGCAACATCTTATCCCAATTGACTTGATCCGGTCTAATATACATGCGCAGAACTTGCTGCAGGATCTTGTTCATCTGTTCTGTCTAACCGTTAGTCTTTGGATGGCGGTCAGACGACATCAGTAACTTCGATCCATAGACTCTCATCATCTCCTGCCAGTTCTGGCTGGTGAAACGACTATCTCTGTCGCTAACTATAGACAACGGAACTCCGTTATCACTAACCCAGTGATCAAAAAACTTATGAATGACTAATTTTGTACGTGCCTCTGCAGGCAAAGGAACAAAAACTGCGTATTTACTGAATCTATCAACGATGACCATGACTTGGCTCTTGGAGTGTCTTCTTTTGACACCGGTATCCATAAAGTCAATGGAGACGGAGTCTCCCGGCTGGTCTGGGATAGGCAAGGGTTTGAGAAGACCTAGAGGGGCACGCGTAGTAGTCTTGTTCCTTTGACAGACTTTGCAACTGCGGACATACTCTATGCAGTCAGCTTTCATTCTTGGCCAGGTGTACGCATGCATCAGATTGGCTAAAGTCTTTTGCCAACCGAAATGTCCCTCTGTGTCGTGGCATTCCCCTAGGATCAGACTACGGATCTCTTCGCTGTTGGGGACGCACAGGCGGTCTACTACATTAGTCTTCTCAAACAATAGTCTCTCAGTAGTGCGGTAGTGTGCCTCGGTCTCTGGGGCCTCCTTAACTCTCTTGAGGAGGTCACTATAGACAGGGTCCTGCACATATGCCTGTCTTACTTTCTCTTGCAGGTCTTTCCCTATGTCCAGATAGTGTACTATGGCTCCAAAGTAGTCTGATCTCCTACTCAGAGCATCCGCAACTACGTTATACTTACCTTTGACCGGCTTGAGCTCAAAGCCGTATTGGTCTATCTCAGCGGACCACCTAGTCAACTTAGGTGTCATTTTGGCCTGGGTCTTTAACCATCTAAGCGTTTCATGGTCTGAGTATACTTTGAAGTGCTTCCCAAGCAGGTAATGTTTCCAATGCTCTAAGGCCTGCCTGAGAGCGTAGAGTTCTAGGTAGCAACCTTCTCTGAGGGCATCCTCGCCGACATGAACTCTATGGGTCTGTAGCCATTGTCGTCGTCTTGCTGCAACACGACGCCTATACCATACTGACTCGCGTCCGTGGTGACGACAAATGGCAAAGACGGATCGGCGACTTTGAGGACAGGATGTTCTATTAACGCGCGCTTCGGTGTCTTTAGCGCCGACGTACAATCTTTGTCCTATTGCCGGATTGCCTCTTTCTTAAGCAACCTGCGCAAGGGAGCGGCGAGAGTAGAGAAGTTCCTCACGAACTTTCTATAGTAGTTAGCTAGGCCCAAGAACAACCGCAACTTTGTCAATGTGCGGGGCGTCGGCCAGTCTCTAATTGCCGCTATCTTGCTGTCCTCAGGCTTAATGCCATCTCCGTCTAGCACGTGGCCCAAGTACAAAACTTGTGTCTTGGCCCACTCGCACTTCTTCGGGTTGATCTTGAAGTTAGCTTCTCTGATCCAAGACCTGCCTCAAATGACCCTGATGCTCTTGGAGGTCCTTCTGAATACTAATATATCGTCTAAATAGACTACTACAAACTTATTTAACCACGGTCTGAACAGATCATTCATACAACGCTGAAATGTAGCTGGCGCGTTGGTTAGTCCGAAGGGCATCACTATAAACTCATAATGCCCATAATGAGTCCAGAACGCAGTCTTGTACTGGTCATCAGGATGGACTTCTATCTGATGATAACCGGACTTCAAATCTATCTTTGAGAAATACTTACAACCCTGCACCCGATCTAGGAGATCGTCTATTCTGGGCAGCGGCTCAACGTTCTTCACAGTAATGGCATTCAAACCCCTATAGTCTATACACATTCTCAGCTCTCCTTCCTTCTTGGGGACGAACAAGACAGGTGCTCCAAAAGGAGACGAACTGGGCCTGATCCAACCTTTCTCCAGGAGCTCGTCCAATTGCTTACGTAGCTCCTCTAACTCTCTAGGGGACATCCTGTACATTGCTCCCTTAGGAGTTCTACTGCCAGGCTCTATCTCTATCTTGTGCTGGATGGGTCGCGGCACTACTCCTGTCGGCGACTCAATTAGATCTTTGAACTCCGCCAGCAGCTTGGAAATGGTTGGATCCATGGAACTATCTCCTTCCTTAGGCTCAATAATAGGTCTAACGTAAACTACAAAGACCTGATCCTCTAACAGCTCCTTTTTCACTAATCGCGCGAACGCGGGAGCACTGAGACATTAATGTGCCAGAGTGTTGTCTACACCTGACACATGGAACAGGCGGGCAGTCTTAACCTCGCCTGACGAACGAGGGAGCCTACACTCATGCTCTCTCAAGTGGAGTGTGGCCCCCGCTGCCTCTCCCAAATCCATTCCTAACACCATATAAAAAGGAAGGTCATCCTGTACGAGGAGAGTCAGGGAATGGAGAACTTTCTCCACCTTCCCATTTTTCTCTAGGCGAAAGTGCGCCTGGACTCCCTCTACGTAGTCCTCAACTCGCATTGTGCGGTTGTCTGCGAGGACACTGACTATGGGGTCTACCAGCTTATGGACTTTCAATCCTAGCCTCAGCTTCTTCAGCGCTCTACGGCTAATATAACTACGGGTGGCCCCTGAATCTATAAGGACCCCTACTCTACTCCTGAAAACTTCTACATCAACTAAAATCAGTTGTCCTTTACTCTCTTTTTTCATTTTGGCCCAGGCTGGCATGCTCTCCTTCAATTCCTTTGCCACGCCTGTGAGGAACGTGCCTAGAGAGACGCTAACACACGCAGTCTTTGGACAACTAGCTAGGCACGGGCCTGCAACCTCTGCCATAGGCTCATGTGGTTTGGGAGTTTCCTGTATGCGCGCGCTCGCTTCCCCACATGGCCTTGAAGTAGGGGCAGTTGCGACCCCTACTGGCGGCTGCCTTTTGACTGTTGAGCAGCCCATCGGGCCTGTCTGTACTGAGGACAAAATTTAATTACGTGGGCCGGTTCACCACAAAACACGCACTGACCCAAGTTCACGCGTTCCTGCCATACGCGCTGGTCCAAGCCCAAATCTTCCCAGGGCCTGCCCTGTGGCAAGCCTGGGTGCCATCCTCCTTGAGGTGGCCTTCCACCTCGTCGCTACGGGGACCGACAAGAACCTTGACGATTTGGCGGGGGACCTTGACCCCTACCTCCCACTTGGCGATTCCCTTGTCCGCCAACCCCCTGCGCGGCCGGTCCTTGGCCTCCCATGGCCTGGCCCCTTTGGCCCTGGCCTCCTCCTCTACCTTGCGGCCTCCCTCCAACCTCGACAACTGCATAAGACCTCCCCTGCCCTACGCTGCTGTCCTCTTCCTCTAACCCCCACTCAATCTCACTGTAGGGGACTTCATCGGTACCACCCTCTTCTAACGTGAGGATCATGTGATCCTTGGCCCTGACATGGCCAAAGATGGTACTACCTTTCCACTTTTTCCCCTTATCCAGGTCCTTATGCCAGAAAGTGGACACTGGCATGGACTTTGACTCATACAGGACCACCTCTCTACTCAGCACATCATAGGTGATGTCGGCCTGTTGAGACCTCTCAAAGAAATGCCCACGCAGGGGCTCGGGCATGGCACGATAAAACAATTGGACCAACTGGGGCTCAGTGACCCCATGGTCTGGGACGGGTACCAAGTCGTCAATGACGCCCTTGAGTGCTCTTGCACTCCTCCACTGTCGTGAGTGGATGGTCTGCAGCTTATCAAAGGCTCTGACGCCTCTCGTTGGGTCAACAAATCGCTCCCTCAGGAGCTTGAAGAATTGAGGAAGGGTGGTGATCTTAGAGTATGCAACCAGGTTGTTTTCACAACCTGCTGTGTGCGCAAGGGATCTGGCGAAACTGGCCGCTTCATCTTTGAGGGCCTGGAAGGCGACGAGGACTTGCTCCTCAGTCAAAATGTGTTGTAGGTACACGTAGCTATTGACGCTCGCCTCCCAGTTATAAAAATTCTCCTCTTTCTTCCCCCCGTATGCATCTGGGAATTTAAGCTTGACAGGCTCTTTACGAGGCCTGGCCTCACCCTCTACAGCGGCTATTGCTTTGGCACCTTCGATGGCGCCCTCGCATAACTTTCCTACGCCGTCTCTCAGTCGCCTAACTTCGCCTCCAATGTGGGTGACCATATCGCGCGTGAAATCTCTAAACCCTGACCGCATGGCACACAGGGCTACATCCTGACCCTTATTGGCTTGGCGCTCCTCCATCCAGGCCACACTCAACACTTCCAAATAACCCAACATCTTATCCATCTTGGCAGACATGTCTGGCTGCGCCTGCACATCTTGTCTACAATCTCTCACTTTTGCCACCTCCTCGGTCAGCCTATTAACTTCGTCCCTCCTTCTCTTCTTTTCCCTCTTCATCCTCAGTTTCCACTCCAACTTCTTCTCTTCTTCTCTTTCTCGCCGTTCCAGAGGGTCCGCAATTGTCGTTAGCTCATTGGCTAACGCATCCCTCTCGTCCTGGGGCACATAAAACTCCGCCTCCTCATCTTCCCCCAGCGATAAATTAGCAATCCACTCGCTGATCTTTTTCTCCATGGCTGCATCCTCATTTGTCGTGCCACTACTTTGCCCTTTTTCTTCCCTGCGTTTCCTTTCCTCCTCGGCTTCTGCTGCTGCTTCTTCTTCGGCAGCCTTTTTCTTCTCCTCCATCTCTTCTTCTAACTTTTTCATCTTCGCCGCCTGCTCCTCTGCGATGGCCTTCAACTTCGCCTGCTTCAGGAGCTCCTTTCTCTCTTTGTTCTCTCTCACTAAGGCGGCCATCTTTTCTTGTTGTTCCTGGGTGTAGGGGCTAGTGCTCTTCCCACTCCGGGTGTCAACCATGGTGATAAGTGCACAACCGGATTAGCGGTTCCAAACCTCACCACTTAGACTCTAACCCCTGACTGACAGACCTACTGACTCAATCTAAAGACTCACAGAATCCGAACAGGGATCCTGCCAACTAGGGCCTCTAGCCTAGACCTACACTATGGTTGTCACTACTAGACCTGTTGCTGATCAGGAGGCATTTAAGGAGATCCCCCGTAACTCCTCAGGAATTATTTAACGTCGCAAACAGGATGACGCGATCAGCAGGTCTCTCAACACTTAGACGGCCTGTTGTGCAGCCCACAACTCGGATTTTGGGCATACCGTGCCACACCGAGCAACCCGCCGGTCAGTACCGGTCCTTGGGAGGGTTAGGCCTCCGGGACAGTCGAGTCGTCAGACACAGTCTTTAGCCCTACTCAGCCCGTGTGGGTTTGGTCAACAAGGCCCTATCCTTCATCCACAGAGTTCTATCACCTGGACAAAAGAGACTCAATGTAGAAAGAAGGGACAGACAGACAGACTGGACTCAACAGGTACCACAGGGTGTGTGCACATCCATAGGGCGAGGGGATAGGCTGAAGGCTTGGCGAGATTATACCGGCTCCAACTTGGTCAAACTCTTGGTCAAACTCTTGGTCAACGCTGCGGTCAACCCCCGGTCATACTCCAGTCAACTCCCAGTCAACCCCCGTTCAACGTCGTTCAACCCTGGTCAACGCCTCCGGTCAACTCCCCAGCTATGGCGGCCGGCTTCCTCTTCGTCGCCACCCTTCACCTTCCTTCTCTCCACCTCGCCTCTTCCTTCTTCACCCTGACTGTCTGCTTTTTCTCTTCTTTTTTTTTTGATCGTCTCTCTCTTCCTCTCCTCGGCTATGGCTTCTCTCTCCCTTCTCGGTCTCTCCCTCTGTCCATTCTCTTACCCCCCTTCGTTACTCCGTGGTCAAGCTTCGCGGCTATGGCCACCATCTTCTTCTTCGTGGGGCTGCACGGCACACTTCACAGGTAAGTGACAACCAAACTTGTATCGCTCATCTCTCTCTCTCTCTCTCTCTCTCTCTCTCTCTCTCTCTCTCTCTCTCTCT